CTAATGTTTTGTATTTTTAGTAGAGACGGGGTTTCACCCTGTTGACCAGGATGGTCTCGATCTCTTGACCTCGTGATCCACCCGCCGCGGCCTCCCAAAGTGCTGGGATAACAGGCATGAGCCACCACGCCCAGCCACCAAAAGACAAGTTTTTAAATTACTACATACCATTTCCTTAGATTTGATGCTTAAAGACTTGGATACCATTTTGGATACCTTTGCATGATTAAGTCAGACAAAAGTTAGACCTATTTCATAAACCAAGGGAAAAATGTAACAGATTGAAATGTTTGATACCTATTGTTAGCTTGGTTTATTGTTTGCACTTAACTTTCATTACTTAAAGCAATTATGTTGATATTAAAATGTTATTAATTAATGAACCCAGGCAAAATGGAAAATTACTTAATTATCAAACTTGGCATTGATGTTTTCTTAAAAAAAACTTATAGAAGTTGGCAAAATCGCATCAATGCGATTTTGCCAACTTCTATAAGTTTTTTTTAAGAAACTTTAATGCGTATTTGTTATTTTTCAGTCTCTGAAGAAACTTAATCATGCTAATGTTATTAAATTGAAAGAAGTTATCAGAGAAAATGACCATCTTTATTTCATATTTGAATATATGAAAGAAAACCTCTATCAATTAATGAAAGACAGGTATGTTTTTATTCACTTTCTTCCCTGTTACTCTCTCCATGAGTTCTTTGGATCCTTTCAGTATGTCAGTACTTTACGATATAAAGATTGATCACTCCAAAAGGTAAATTTAAATTAACTAGTTCTGTTATCTTTATCAAAGGGTAACATTTAACACTAAAGAAGAACCAGCTGTGACATAGCCACCATTTTTCTGTTGTATATCCTTAAAAGTCAAGGCCGGTGTCTCATATAAATACACATACTATCTATTTATGCTTTTTAAAATACAAACTTATATATAGTTTAGTACTCAGTAACAAAGCTGGCCTTGGGCACTATTGAGAAAATTATCTTCATTGCTTTCCCAAGCATCTCGTGGAGGTTAATGAAAGAATGGAGAAAGGAATCAAGTTCCTTTCAAGAAAAGATTTAAGAAACTCATTCACTGGAAGGCACAAGTCAGTGATAATACTTGATGTGTTACCAATTCCAAGGAAATTCACAATTTTTAAATGTGTGGGCAGAATCTGTAAGAGCTTTGGTCCTCCGCCCTGGGCTTGGGGAGATAATGTTTTGGTGGTTGTTCTGGTCACATCTGGGGGATAAACGTCCATTTTGCCTGCTTTTAAAGTGAGAAATGTTCAATAGTTTTGAACTATTTAAAATAAATAACATCAGTGGTAAAATAGGTTGGTAATTATAGTATATAATATATATTTAGACTATGCCTCTAAAAAATTTAAAAGGTAAAATTTTTAAAATGAATAATTTTTATAATAAAAATTTTTTTAGAGGCATAGTCTTGCTCTGTCACCCACACTGGAGTGCAGTGGTGCAGTTGGCTAATTTTTATATTGATTACATGTTGGAATAGTATTTGGTATATATTAGGTTAAATTAAATATATTGTTAAAAATTAATTTTACCTGTTTGATTTCTTTTAACATGGCTGCTAGAAAAATGTTAAGTACACAAGTGGCTCTCAGGTATTTTCTTTTTCTTTTTTTTTTTTTTTTTTTTGAGATGGAGTCTCGCTCTTTTGCCCAGGCTGGAATGAAGTGGTGCAATCTTGGCTCACTGCAGCCTCCACCTCCCAGGTTCAAGTGATTCTCCTGCCTCAGCCTCCTGAGTAGCACGTGCCATCACACCTGGCTCATTTTTATATTTTTAGTAGAGACGGGGTTTCACCATGGTGGCCGGGCTGCTCTTGAACTCCTGACCTCAGATGATCCACCCATCTTGGCCTCCCAAAGTGCTCGGATTACAGGCATGAGTCACTGCACCCAGCTGGCTCTCACATTTCTATTGGACACCACCAATATGTAGAATAGAATTGAAGCATTTATTTATACCTCTAAATTGATTTATTTATTGAGACAGGATCTCACTCCGTCACCAGGCTGGGGTGCAGTGGCACAATCATGGCTCCTTGCAGCCTCGAACTCCCAGGCTCAAGTGATCCTCCCATCTTATCCCCTCCAGCAGCTGGACTACAGGCGCGCGCCACCACACCTGGCTAATTTTTGTATTTGTTTGTAGAGACAAGGTTTCACCATGTTGCCCAGGCTGGTCTCAAACTCTTGGGTTTAAGCGATCCTCCTACCTTGGCCTCCCAAAATGCTGGGATTATAGGCATGAGCCACTGCACCCAGCCTCCTCTAAAATTCTTAAAGCCGACATAATACAGATTTGCAAGCTTGGCTTATCTGTTAGTAATTCGTTTTTCAACTTGCTTTACTCTTCTTGGGACAGTTTAAAATTTAGCTATTTAATATGTGTGCAATACATTCAGTTTGGGATTTGAGCTTTTACCACATATCAAAACAAAAAAAAATCTGATTTTCATGTATTAAAAATATGAGCTTTTACATTGTAAATCCATAAATCATACCTTTAACCAGTATCATGAGGCCAACGGAGGCTCCAAGGCAGGGGGAATATCAACCTTCTTTGGATTGGTTGGCTGGTTGTTTAACAGAATTATGTGACTGTTCATTTCTTTACAGAAACAAGTTGTTCCCTGAGTCAGTCATCAGAAATATTATGTATCAGATATTGCAAGGGCTGGCTTTTATCCATAAACATGGTAGGTTTCTTTTAAGTTTCATTTCCCTACCTCTTTAGATTACTGTCAAGATTGTGCATAGAAATTATATATTAAACTGTTAAATAACTGTTATTTTGGAGAAATACAAATTTGGGTATGTGCCTATACACACTGACATTTTTATTTAAAAATTTGAGAATTTCTGTGATTCTATAAGAAATGGAATTTCTGGCCAAGTGTGATGGCTCATATCTGTAATCCAGCACTTTGGGAAGCCGAGGCAGGTAGTTTACCTAAGATCTGGAGTTAGAGACCAGCCTGGCCAACATGGTGAAACTTGGTCTCTGCTAAAAAAGTACAAAAAAATTAGCCAGGCATGGTGGTGGGTACCTGTAATCCCAGCTACTGGGGAGGCTGAGGCAGGAGAATTGCTTGAACCCAGGAGATGGAGTTTGCAGTGAGCCGAGATCAAGCCATTGCACTCCAGCCTGGGGAGCACAGTGAGACTCCATCTCAAAAAAAAAAAAAAAAAAAGGGCCAGGCTTGGTGGCTCACACCTGTAACCCCAGCACTTTGGGAGGCTGAGGCGGATGGATCAACCTGAGGTCAGGAGTTAGAGACCAGCCTGGCTAACATGGTGAAACCCTGTCTCTACTAAAAATATAAAAAATTAGCTAGACATGGTAGCACTCGCCTGAAATCCCAGCTACTTGAGAGGCTGAGGCAGAAGAATAGGTTGTACCCAGGAGGCAGAGGTTGTGGCGAGCTGAGATCACCCCATTGCACTCCAGCTTGGACAAAAAGAGCAAAACTCCTTCTCAAATAAATAAATAAATGGGAATTTCTATAATCTATAATTATCCTCCAGCAGAGCAGAATTTTTTTTACCAGTTCATTCATCATCAGCCTTCAGCCTCAGTCATCAGAACCCATCCTGCAACCTAATTCCCCCTAATTTTATCGTGGAAATGAAAAAAAACAAAGGACCCTCTTTTGGAAAAAGATTAGACTGTTTTGATCTAGCACGCCCAATTATTAACATTTAAATAGTTTGTAGCACCCGTGGAATAGTGTTTTATAGTTTTCCTTGGTATTTACATTTAGCTGTTTCTGTTCTCTGAATGAAATTAAAGCAAGTATTAATACTTGTTCTGTTTTCCATGAATTTCTTATTTATGTACTTTGATTAATGTGGCTTTTTCATATCCATCAAACCAAAATAATTATTAGTCCAAAAAGTTAATATGATTGTTTTTTAAAAACATTTGTTTAGAATTGCCGGATGTTTAGATATTAAATTAGAAAAGTTTGTCCCATACCATTGCTGTGTTCTGAACATAGGTACTTAAAAATCACCATCAGGTTCCCTTCATGTCTCATCTTGTATTTAATTTTATTATTATCATTATTTGAGACAGAATCTCACTGTGATGCCCAGGTTGGAGTGCAGTGGTGCCATCCTGGCTCACTGCAGCCTTGGCTTCCTGGGCTCTGGTGATCCTCCCACCTCAGCCTCCCTGGTAGCTGGGACTACGGGCACATGCTTCCACACCCAGTTAATTTTTTATTTTATGTAGAGATGAGGTTTTACCATGTTGCCCAGGCTGGTCTTAAACTCCTGGGCTCAAGTGATCCGCCAGCCTCAGCCTCCCAAAGTGCTGGGATTACAGGCATGAGCCACCATACCAGGCCTCATCCTATCTTTTATATTTTCTTTTTTTACTTTATCCTCTAACTGACACAGGAATTATTTACCTTCCAAAACTGCTATTCAGGATTCCATATAAATATTTTAAGAACACTTCTTAAACTTATTAAAAGAACATTTTAAAATGTTTTAAGAACATTAAAAAAAAAACTTTTTATTTGTGTCATATAAATTTTTGGGGTCTTTTAAAAGTCTAAATCCTGTAATGATATACTGTATTTTACTGGGAAAGATCAGTAATGTATTAACTATATGGAAATAAGGGATATCTGCTATTTTAATTATTTGTAATGGATTCCTGATTTTTAATTGTTTTAAACTCATCATAAACTTGGTATTTGCCTGAGTTGATTTATGCTGTCAGCGACATCTAAAGCATAAGTGATTGAAGGAGGAAGTTCTATTAGGATTTTTAAATTGTGACTGAAAGTAAGTAACATGTAAGTAATCAAGAGTTGACTGTATGGTTGACTACAGAGTAATTTGGGAAACCAGGCTGTTAGGATAATTCGACATTTTCACAAAAGCCAAATAAGCCAATGTGTAAGGATAATTCAACATTTTCACAGAAGCCAATAATTCTTGCTGTAGAATTAAGCAACTCAGATGTGATACTTCAAGAAAATAGGTATTTTTAAATCGTGGTTTGGTCTGGTGTGGTGGCTCACACCTGTAATTCCAGCACTTTGAGAGACCTCACTTGAGATCAAGAGTTAGAGACCAGCCTGGCCAACATGGTCAAAACTTGTCTCTACTAAAAATTAAAAATACAAAAAGTAGCCTGGCACGGTGGCACATGCCTATAATCTCAGCTACTTTGGAGGCTGAGGCAGGAGAATCGCTTAAATCCAGGAGGCAGAGGTTGCAGTGAGCCGAGATTGCACCGCTGCACTCCAGCCTGGGCGACAGAGCAGGACTTTGTCTCAAATACATACTGTACATACATACATAAAATTGTTGCTGTCAAAAAATGAAACTAATGTTTACTTCAAATAGGACTGAATTACCAATATATTTATATTAGGGTGGGGAAAACCACAGCTGTACAAATATGTAATTGATTTAGTTCTCTTAGACTTTATGGATTAGTGTCACTATGCTCTGCATCACATGGTTCCATTCCTGTCATTACATTACAAAAGTACCATGAATGTGTCTTGGACGTAGTGAAATGGATGTTACCAGCTATTTAGAATTAGAAGTACTGTATAAACTCGGATTACAGAACTGTTACAGATGCCACAAACAGAGCCCACTCTGACTTTGAAGTGACGAAAAACGTTTAGGCTTAGAAAGTCTTCCCAGCCCCAGTTGGGTACAGTGGCTCATGCCTATAATCCCAGCACTTTGGGAGGCTGAGTTGGGTGGATCATGAGGTCAGGAGTTCGAAACCAGCCTGGGCAACATGGCAAAACCCCATCTCTACTAAAAATAAAAAAAACTAGCCAAGCATGGTGGTGGACACCTGTAATCCCATTTACTCTGGAGCATGAGGCAGGAGAATTGATTGAACCAGGGAGGCAGAGGTTGCAGTGAGCCAAGATCACGCCACTGCAATCTAGTCTGGGCGACAGAGTGAGATTTTGTCTCCAAAAAAAAAAGAAGAGAAAAGAAAAAAAAGAAAAGCAGGGCCCCAACATCCCATTACTTCTTAGACAATAAATATGGTTTACTTTTTTCTTTGCGACAGAGTCGCGCTCTGTCGCCCAGGCTGGAGTGCAGTGGCGTGATCTCGGCTCACTACAACCTCTGCCTCCTGGGTTCAAGCAATTCTCTTGCCTCAGCCTCCAGAGTAGCTGGGACTATAGGCGTTCACCACCATGCCCAGCTGATTTTTTGGTATTTTTAGTAGAGACAGAGTTTCACCATGTTGGCCAGGCTGGTCTTGCACTCCTGACCTCAAGTGATCCACCCACCTCGGCCTCCCAAAGTGCCGGGGTTATAGGCATGAGCCACCATGCCTGGGCCAGTTTACTTTTTTTCTAAGATGATGTTTCTAACTGTAAAAGAGGGGTTCATTTATATTTTGTTTATAAATCAAATAAAGCTATGTTTAAGCATAATGATTTATTGTATTTTTTTCTCTATATATCACCAAGGCTTTTTTCATAGGGACATGAAACCAGAAAACTTGCTTTGTATGGGTCCAGAACTTGTGAAAATTGCTGATTTTGGACTTGCAAGAGAATTAAGGTCACAGCCACCGTACACTGATTATGTCTCTACTAGATGGTGAGTAGTAGTATGCGGTTCTCCTAAGGCATAAGTCTATGTTGAAGTCTATGTTCCTACAGTGGATTCTTACAGATGTCTGGAGGTTCCATACTGAATATTTAAAACAGAATATAGAACTGAATTTTGTGTTCTTTAAAGAGATTGAAGGATTGGTTTATTGCTATTCTGATTACTGAAAAAACAAGGAAAAAGAATTTCATTTATTCACTCATTCATTCAACAAATATTTGTTGAACACCTATTATGTGCCAAACATCATTTTAGGCACAGAGAACATAGCAGTAAAATAAAAAAATAAAAGAAAAATCTCTGCTTCAGCTGCTTACATGACAGCCAATACACAAATAAACAAGTTCTTATGAGTCACCAACAGAAAGACATACACATGTTCACCAAAAGACATGAATAATCTCAACTGCATACTACCCAAATGTCCATGAACAGTAGCATCGTATACTCACCCAGTGGAATGCTTTGCAACAATGAGAATGAATGGTCTACAACTGCATGCACAATGTGAATGAATCTTAATGTTGAGAGCAAGAGGCCAAACAGAAAAAGTGCACATACCGTCTGATTTCATTTCTGTGAAATACAAAAACAGAGAAAACTAATCTGTGCCATAAAAGGATAGTGGCCAGGTGCGGTGGCTCACACCTGTAATCCCAGCACTTTGGGAGGCCAAGGCAGGTGGATCAGAAGATCAGGAGTTTGAGACCAGCCTGACCAAGATGGTGAAACCCCATCTCTACTAAAAATATAGAAATTAGCTGGGTGTGGTGGCAGGCACCTGTGGTCCTAGCTACTCAGGAGGCTGAGGCGGAGAGTTGCTTTAACCTGGGAGGTGGAGGTTGCAGTGAGCCGAGATCGTGCCATTGCACACCAGTCTGGGCAACAAGAGCAAAACTCCATCTCAAAAAAAAAGAGAGAAGGTCAAAGGGGAAATGGGCACGTTCGAGGAAGGAGCAAAAAAGAGGAGGAAGCTTGCTGTGGAGCAGCCCCTCTCTCAGGAACTAATCTCATCTTGCCTGAAAAAGAACTTATTCACGACGTAAGAACAGCACCAAGCCTTCCGTGACGGATTTGCCCTGGTTACCTGGGAATGCGAACTTATTTTGAAATGGGGTCTTTGCAGATGTAATCAAGCTAAGATGAGGTCATATCAGAACATGATTGTTCTTCATCCAGTAAGGCTGATGTCCTTATAAGAAGACAGACACAGGGACAGATGCGGGAAAACACGTGGAGGCCCCCCAGGAGAAAGCAGTGTGATGTACACTTTAAATAGATCAACTGTATATTATGTGACTTACATATCAATAAAGCTTGTAAAAGTATTTGTCAAAGAAAGTACAGTAAGTCCTCACCTAACATCAATAGGTTCTTGGAAACTATGACTTTAAGTGAAACAAGGTATAATGAAACCAATTCGACCATGCGCTAATTAAAATAAACAATTTTAGGCATGTTTCTGGTCACAAAAACATCACCAAACTTCTTTTTTTTTTTTGAGACAGAGTCTCACTCTGTCACCCGGGCAGTGGTATGATCTCAACTCACTGAACCTCCACCTCCTGGGTTCAGGCAATTCTTCTGCCTCAGCCTCCCGAGCAGCTTGGATTACAGGCACCTGCCACTACACCCAGCTAATTTTTTGTATTTTTAGTAGACACAGGGTTTTATCACATTGGCCAGGCTGGTTTCAAACTCCTGACCTCATGATTTGCCCACCTCGGTCTCCCAAAGAGCTGGGATTACAGGTGTGAGCCACCACGCCCAGGCCAAACTTCTAAATAGTGACCAAGACACTAATATTGAACATTGAATACATGTGAGCTATACATACATTTAAGAAAGATTAAGGCCGGGCATTGTGGCTCATGCCTGTAATCCCAGAACTTTGGGAGGCTGAGGCAGGAGGATCATGAGGTCAAGAGATCGAGACCATGACGACCAACATGGTGAAACCCCATCTCTACTAAAAATACAAATATTAGCCAGGCATGGTGCGCCTGTAGTCCCAGCTACTCAGGAGGCTGAGGCAGGAGAATCGCTTGAACCCGGAAGGCGGAGGTTGCAGTGAGCCGAGATTGCACCCTGCATTCCAGCCTGGCAACAGAGTGAGACTCCGTCTCAAAAAAAAAAAAAAAGAAAAAGAAAGATTAATAAAAACAAGGAAGATAATTATTTGCCCAGTTATTCCAGTTCAGGGTCACAGGTGGCTATAGTGTGTCCTGGCAGCTGGGGGTGCAAGGTGAGCACCAACTGTGGATGGGACAGCCACCCATGGCAGCACCCCCCCACACACACACACATGTACACTTACTTATTCTGGGACCACACAGACACCCCAGTTCAGTTCACCTGACATGCACATCTTTGGGTTATGGGAAGAAGCTGGAGCCCTGGAGAAAACCCATGTAGACTTGGAGAGAACATGCAGCCCCCACACAGTGGCCCAGTCAGGAATCCGTTTTCTTTCCTTTCTCCTTTCCTTTCCTTCCTTCCTTCTTTCCCTTCCCTACCTTCTTCCCTTCCTCCTTCCCTTCCCTTACTTTCTCTCTCTCTCCTTCTCTCATTAACGTTACAATGTAATGGCATTGAACAAAACTAGTCAGTACTGCCAAACTGTTGGACTGAAATATCTATACATTTTGGTTAGAAAAAAGGAGTTAGAATTGAGAAATTGAGAGTATCTTCCATTTAGCAGACTCTGTGTTGGACTCACCAGCTCACTTTGCTCTTGTAAATTGAGTATTTTTCTCAATGAAAAATATTGTTGACCACAGAAGAGGAGTCCATTGAGGATATCAGCACTTTCAAACTGGTAAAAAGAAGAGAAAACTCCACTACTCAGGGCTAATCCTTGTTCATCTTTTGTTTTCTGTGCTTCATGGTGAATAGATGCTGAATATAATGTTTTATAACATGGTTTTTCTACTTCTTTTCTTTCTCTTTCTTTTTTTTTTTTGAAACAAAGTCTCACTCTGTCGCCAGGCTGCAGTGCAGTGGCCAGATCTTGGCTCACTGCAACCTCTGCCTCCCGGGTTCAAGCAATTCTCCTGCCTCAGCCTCCCAAGTAGCCAGGACTATAGGTGCATGCCACCACCCCTGGCTAATTTTTGTATTTTTAGTAGAGATGGGGTTTTACTATGTTGGCCAGGATGGTCTTGATCTTTTGACCTCATGATCCACCCACCTCAGCCTCACAAAGTGCTGGGATTACAGGCTCGAGCCACCAGGTCTGGCCTATTTTTTTTTCTTAATATATCAGATAGCACTTATTTCCACTATTTCCGTATCTATTCATTTGAGTTCCTGTCTTGGGCTTCATGGACATTTTCATTCACATTTGTCGCCAGCCCCATTCATTGTCTGTGGTCAGGGAACATGTGTTATGTCCTATTGCCCCTAGAACATTGTACAAATGACTGACACACAGAAGGAACAGGATCTGAATATCTACTCTTTGATGGAAATGCATCACCAAACAGAGGAGACTGCTACTGCCCATCCACCTTTGAAATTGCAATCAAAATAACTTTTGTTTTGTTTTGTTTTCTTAGGTATCGTGCCCCTGAAGTTTTGCTGAGATCTTCCGTGTACAGCTCTCCCATTGATGTGTGGGCTGTTGGAAGTATCATGGCTGAACTCTATATGTTAAGGCCACTTTTCCCAGGGACAAGTGAGGTTGATGAAATCTTTAAAATTTGCCAAGTTTTAGGGACTCCCAAAAAGGTAAGTACTCTTGTCCCAAAGTTGCTATAACTTTTGATTATTTCTCACTTGCTACTTTGCTTTTAATTTTGTAATTTTTCATTATTTATAACTTTTGCCTAGATATCTGGTATTTGCATTTTGAAATAGGCTCATACTTTAATGATTAATTTTCTTATAATCCTTTTTTTTT